ATACCTATGATGAAAATTACAGGCCTCTCTCATCTTTTTAAGTGGGAGAACTTGCACAATTGGTGGCTGACTAAATACCTTTTTGCCCCGCTGTACTTAGCCAATGTCCTATAGAAATGTTGGCAATACTAATCTATAAATCCCAATCTTCAGTCCTATTATCTGAAAATTCTCAGTCCAATACCACGGGAGGAACACTAATTTGGGGAAGCATGGTCTGAAAGTTAAAGCTCATGAATTGAAAGGACATGGAATTATTTTTCTTATTTTTCTAGAAATATTTTAGAGTTTGAATTTTACAAGATACATATAAAATGTATAATTAAGAATTAAGTGAAGAATTAAGTGAAGTTAATTTAAGTATAAGATGCAAAAATGAATATTGAAAGAGTCCATCTGAACAAAACACTCCAGCTAAAATAATTATGACTCATTGTCTATCACATGACTTACAGTGGCCTAGTTCTATTTTTTTAAACTGTTGTAGGGTTAATTATGATTCTGGATGCCTGCTATTTTGTACATGAAATAACATGTTTCATTCTTATTATTATCCCACATCTGATTTTTGATGTGGGAGAATATAAGGTTTATTATAAATTTTGTTGTATTCACACTTTGTAGTGTTTTGTGCATTACCTTTGTGCGTGACTCAGCTGATATTGTTGGATACTGCTCTCATCTGTCCCAACTACCAACGTTAGAGCTGGCAGATTATGGGAATTATTAACTAGTGAAGGGGCATAGGTTTTCAACCTCTGCCTTAAGTGATTGAGTAAAACATCAATGTATGTATTGCTTGATATGTTCAATTGGCAGTTCCTCTATTTTATTTGTTTTGACAGTTGAAGATATTGGAAATAGAGCAGTGTATTCCATCCCACTTGAGGACACAATGGGAATTCAGCTGATGTCTACAAAATATCCATAGATCTGTCCTTCAGCATCTCACCCCTGCTTCCTAGGATCTGTTGCTTGAGATAGTTGCCTCATTATGTTAGTTTCTGAAAGAATTTAGAGTCGCTTTGACACAATTTTTCTAAAAATGAAATATCTAAATCAAATCCATGCAACTAAAACTGTTAGTGCCTTAATTCTGCTTCTAACTCTCTTTTGGGCATAGACATGATTTTTTTTTAACTGTATGGTATATAACAAATAGATCAGAGAGGTATCTCTTTGTGACAGTAACTTGTTTTTACAGGATTTTATTTGAACAGGGTTTGGTTTGCATTGTATGGGAAACCTAATAAATAAGCAGCATGCTATAAAGACAAGCATTTCTGCCTACACTTTTGTCCAGCTAACACAATTTTGTTTAGGAAGTAACAGCAAAATGTATATTTTTCATACTATAAACTAATTACTTTTAGATGACTTATCAGTATGTTGAAAAACTGGTTGTTAATAATAGCATATACATCATAGGTCAAATAAATATGACTATAATAAAATACATAAATAAATACATTATAAATAAGTAGGATTCAAATATTTTAAAGGTACAAAAAATAAGGCACTCTGTATATCTCACTTGTCTAATTTAAGACAAGCAATTCAACTTTAATTATGGAAGGTCTAGTTTCTCAGGTGCTAGTCCATGAGAATATGTACAGAAAGGAGCAGATGTCCCCATAGTGAGTAGGATTAAGTAATGTCTGTGTAACTGTGGTTCACTGAACAAAATAATGCCTGGGTTCATACAATACATGGCATTATTAACTATGGTTTACAAACTTCACTGCCTATACTCTTACAACCCAATAAGTCAAAACAAAATCAACCACATTATACATACTGTGTATGTATATAATGTACATAATGTGAACCAGGACAATCTGAGAAGCCATTTGAGTACAAATATTAATACCCAAGAAACCTAACTTAATGCTTCATTTTTACAGGTCACATTGGAATGCTGCAAGCTACTCAAATGACCCAGGAAGTTACAATAACAGATTTGGAATCAGAAAAATCTAGATTAAAGGAGAAATTGTCTCAGCTGGAAGAAGAAAGAAATGTATTACACAGTAAAACGCAAAGTCTGGATGAAAGACAAAGGCAGCAAATTCTTACACTGGAGAAGGTAAAATATACATGGGTGGGTTACAAATGAAAGCTGAAATTGTGTAGATTTTTTGTAAATATGAAAACTATTCACTTGCATAAAAGCTGCACTGCTTGGAGGAACACCATTTTGATCTTTGTACATAAGAACTAATATTTTGAATTCTGCTTGCCCAACATATTATAAAATTCAAGCTACTTCACTATTGTAGGCTTTGGTTGTACAAGTTGTTTGTTAGCAGTTGCTCAATGCCCAATCTCTGGTATAACATACAGCTGCTAATGCATAACTGATTAACCTGTAGGCTGGTAGAAATATATTGGGAGTCATAATTAATGAGGACAGGAATGCTAAATATGTCAATAACTATCACCTTCCACCAAGTGTGAGAAATGAAACAAGGTTCCATTAATATGTGGAAAAGGCAGAAAAAGGTGCCATATTTATGCTGCAGAGAGAGTAAGAAAGGCCTGCATTTTCATTTGAGCTGAGGGCATTCAGCTGCTTAAATGTGTAATAAAGATTCCTATCTAGTTATGCTATATCAAGTGTTTGGGTAACTTCTGCTGTGTTCAGTGAAGGAGAGAATCTGATGGCTTGATTGCCTTCTCATCATTCCCACATCAGCAGGAGGGAAGCCATTGCTTGCCTGTTCAAGTGTCAGAATAATGGCTATAACCTTGCTTTTTTCCAAACATCTCCTGGCCCTTCCCTTCCCAGAAGCTTCCCAATTCTTCTGAAGCATTAGGAAGTTTAGCACCCTTTTTAGGAATAGTTAGACCACACAAGAGCCCCTACAGGTTCTGATAACAATCATTCCTAAGAACCCCACCCCACCCAATCATTATGAAAAATTTGCTACCTGTAGATGGAGTGGTGTTTGAAATGAAACAAATTCTGGATTCTCAGATCAGGATTCTGTTATTGTTGCGGTGACATCAATGCAGGTGGCACATTCTGAAATTCCATGCAAAAAAAAAAAAAACAGAATTGGATCTGTTATTGTAATTCTGCTAGTGGAAGCTATTGCACTGGTGGTTCTTAATATACTGTAACATAATTCTGGAACAAGGAAAAAGAGAAACAGGAATTGCTGTTCGGCAAGCAGAAGTCATATCTTTAACATTCAAAGTAGACTTCCTTACTTTCTAAAAGTGTGGATATTAAATAAAAGTAGCAGAAAGAAATTGGAAAGAAGAGTTAACAAGCAGTGAATATGAGAACATTCGTTTATGTATATTAGAACCTGGTTGTTGTCTGGGATAATGAAATATATTCCCCCAAAAAGTAGTTTTTGATTAATAGTCAGAAGGACAGACCATGCTTCTTTAAAGGAGTTAAAAGCATGAGGAACAGACAAGAGAATAAAGAGCAAGAAATGGTATAGTTTAGACATCACAGGCACAGGACGAAACTACAGTGACAAATGAGATGTAATGAACTCAAGAGCATATGGTTTTCAGAAATAAATTTATCTGATTTTGATTCTAAGTTGTATTGTTTAAATTAAAGAGAGTAAATGAAGCAAGGGAAACACAACGAGAATATTATGAAAAGGAGCTAATGAAATTGCAAGCCAGACTGGAAGGGGAGGCTACGCAGCTAAATGAAGCTCATTCCAAGGCTTTGGAGGAGTTGGCATGGAAACATAATATTGCTCTTGAAGCAGCACATAGCAATGCTAACAAGGAGAAAAAGAAACTGCAAATGGTAAGAGAAATGTAAAGTGAAGATTGTTCCTGGTTTTACCATAACAACATATATTGAGTTAATTTTTTAAAATTATAATAGTATATCTAAGATGCTCCACATATTTTGGAGCAAGAAAATCTTCAGCTTCACAAGAAATAGATTGAATATTAATATCACTTAAATAAAACCAGGCAAAACTTTTTTATTTCTGACTTTTTAGAAAGAGGAATTAAATTTCTCCAATTTCTACAATACTTTGCATCTCTCCTATAAATGGATGATTATGGGTAACTGGAATTTTGAATGAGACTGTGGATTGGGATCGTTTATGAATTCCAGAAAAGGCTTCAGATTAGTAGCAAATAAGCAGATTCTTGGTCATGTAGTAATTTTGACATTTTAAAACTACTACACCAAATTTCTGTTTCTGGTTTGTTTTTGTTGTTTTTAGTCTTCATTTTTACTTCCAATGTTTTATTACTCACTGTCTCATTTCAAAAAAATGTACTGTACTTATATAACACTAAAAATGGAACAAAGAGATTTGGCAGTGTGTTCTGTTAGGCTGCAGTTACAGATGCCCTGATTGCCCCACCCATCCACCTGTAGAATGAGGTCTAATGTGCCAGCTGTGAGATTGCTGAGCTGGATGGACGTGGCAGTAGTTACCCATATTTTTGATAAAACTTGGTTTTATTTAATTATTATAAGACTTATATGGCCACCCATCTTATGTACCATAACCCTGCGCAACTCATAGAAAGAGCAATAACAACATAAAGAGACAATGAAACCAGCACCAAAAACTCTTGGCACCCCAAAAACAAACACTCTTCTATATAGCAACATTTAGATTGACCAGGCTCCACTCTCATCCTTGAGGGAACAGTCAGTTCTTCAAAGCTTTCTAGAAGGCTAGGAGGATAGGGGTCTGCTAGATTTCAGGGGGAAGGATGATCCACAGGGCAGGAGCTACTAAGAAGGTGTGCTTTTTAGGTCCCACCAGATGACACCACCTAAGGGAAGGGACCTGAAGCACACCTACCCTATTTGACCTAGTAGAACAGGCAGAAACCTTCAGGGAGAGGTGGTCCTGCAAATAGCCTAGCCTTGTGCCAATCAGGGCTTTAAAGGTGATAACCAACACTTTGAATTGCACCTGGAAAGAAACTAGAAACCAGTGCATCTTGTGCAGCAATGGTGTAATATGGACTTGACTGATGAATCGTTTGTTCTAATAAGAATCTGTCCAGGCTTTAAGGTTACCTAGAGAGGACCTCCTTAAGATCCATTTGCATTCTGAAATCCATTTCTGGGTCATATGGGAGATTGAGCAGGAAAACAGAATATAAATTGTTAAGCAGTATTTTTGAAATATTTAATCAGTATGCAGTGGTAGACTTACCATTTTTCCTGTCTTGTTTTGTTTTTTAAGGAGCTTGAGCAGCAATTTGAAAAAGAGAAACAACATTTTGAAGATGAGAAAAATCAGCTTCGACAGCAGTTGGAAAGCCTGAGGGAAGAACTGACAACCAAATTGACTTCCTCCAATCAGGAGGTAAGAATCAACATAATCATATTACCTAAATGTTGTGTGCATTCAACTATGTTTAATTATTAATATTTTTTTTTCTTAGCTGGCATTTTAGATTTGGATCCATTCTGTTCTGCTTCTTTCTGTCTAAAAGAACAATTCTATAAATATTTTTATATATACTCTTTATTCATAGTATATATTTTATAAATGATGTTGAGGGAAATTTGTTCTTTTAGTGCTAGAACTTTAGATCACTAACAAAACTGATTGGCTACCCATTCAAAACTATTTTACATATGGAATTCAATATCACAAGTGATAATGATGATCACTGATTTGGATTCTGAGTGTTGTACACATATATGCACATGCATACACATGCACACAGATACAGATGAATTTCTGCTGTCAACTGCAATCAACATTATGTGCTTCATGGCTATGCACTATTATCACTGGACTTCCTTGGAGGGGGAGTGCTTACTCCCTTCGTTTTTTTTTTCCTCAGATCTTGATAGAACTTTTCACTAGCATTTTCTATCCGAACATATGAGGCTGGTGATACATATGTGATCGCAGAAGGGAACAAAAAAACAGACAAAGGAATATAGGAGCATCATTAATATTTGTGCCTATTTTACTGATGAAATTAGAGGATCTGCCTAGGTGCTTCTGGATAATGTACAATATTATTACGTAACTGCAGTAATTTTTTGTTAATACTTTTTAATAAACCAGTTATATCTGAACATACAGGTACACATAAACATGCAATCTGAAACATTGTCACATTTTTTAATGGCAACCTCTGAGCCTGGTTGTTTTCTTGCAGACATTTCATAAACTGACTAGATAACATCTCCAGTGCTAGAAGGGGGTGGGGTTTGCTCTCTATTAATATACAGTAGCTTGCCCTGTTAGTGTTGGGGGGGGGGTTGTTTTCTCCTTGGTAGTTCCTTGATTAGGGTATTATTTACTGCTTGATTGTTTGTCTGGTGTTAATCCTGGTGTTAGGGGGACGCGGTGGCGCAGCGGCTTAATGACGCTGAAAGTTGCCGGCCAGAAATGGTC